GAAAAGGTGCGTTTGCTGTGCACTGACCATTGGAAATATTTACTACTACCGAAAAATAAACTGAAAATACTGCTGCAGTACTGTACCTGTTTTCTTTACATGTACAGGGTGTTCTGTAAAAGTGTTCAATGAGTAAAGGGGGGTGATAGGAAAGTAAAGACGCCCGACAACTTTAAGAGGGGTGGCTGGGACGGTGGGGGAGGAGGGGTTCAATCTAAAAATTTGGAGAGTTGCAGGGAGAAAATAGTTGTCAGTACATTTAGAAAAAATTCTCTACTTAAGGGTAAGTTCTACTAAAAATTTGCAAATAAGATTTTAAGGCAGTAAATTGATTTTTTTCTCTAACTACATATATTTATGTATATATGTACTTTACTTTAAACAATCAATTCTTGTAAATATGTATGTATATTAGACTGCATCACCAAAAAAAGTTGCGGTTTTTCCACCGGGATTACAAAATTTATTATATCTTAAGACGTCCACCAAAATATTTCCGAAAAATATTAAGATTTAAGTGAGCTGGACCGATTTGAAAATGCCTCCAAAAATGGAGTTTTTTATGAATAAAAATAGTTTCTTAAAGAACTTTTTGAAAACAGTCCCCTCCGATGACAAAACAGATTAAGCTTAAAAAAACTGCATAAAAATATTTAAAAATCTTCTCAACGGAATCGTAAGAATGAGATTTTTGATGCTGTTTTTTTACTTTTTTCAAAGATTGATTTACGAAAAACTTGAATAACTGGGCCAAAACTATTCTGATTAGACTTATGGGATCTCAGTAGAAAGGTATTTTCACACTGTTTTTATTTCTGTCAAAAAATGTAATTCGGGTCCCAATTTTTTATTTTTTCAAAAACCAACACATCTTAATTCAACTTTGAATGACTATCGGTCATCGTACCTTTCTCTTTCATCCTTTGAATGAAATTGTTAGCAAAGAAATAAAAAGGGTGAAAAAATACCTTTCCAATGATACCTCACAAGTCTAAATCGGAAGAGAAAAGGCTCAGTTATTCAAGTTTTTCTTATACCAATCTTAGAAAAAAGTTAAAAAACAGCATCAAATAATTCATCATTACGATTCCGTTAAATTTTCTTTAATTTTTTTTAAATGTTTTTATGCAAATTTTGTAAGCTTAAACCGTTTTGTCAATTGAGGGGATTTAAAAAAAAAAAAACTTTAAGAAACTATTTTTATTCATACAAAACTCCATTTTAAGAAGTATTTTCAAATCGGTCCAGCTCACGTAAATCTTAATATTTTTCCGAAATATTTTGGTGGACGTCTTAAAATATATTAGATTTTATAATTCCAATGGACAAATAGCACCGATTATTTTTTTTGTATGGGGAGTGATGCAGTCTAATGTATATATATCCAAAGGTTTCTAGGAAACGACTCTAACGATTTTAATGGAATTTTGTATTCAGATAATGTTTTTAATTTTAAGGGTATCTGGAGATATTTGTACAAAGTTGCCACGTATTCGAAATTACTTATAATTATTAATTCTAAGAAGGCACAAAAGATTCACTAAAAAATTAAAGTTAGAAGACATTTCAAATAAAACAAACTACTATATACTATAGTAGTAAAGTTCGATGAGTGTATGAAATTTCTGCGTGTTAGATAAGGTGCAAATTATTTCAATAAACCTCAACATAATGGTTACTCCGTATAGTGTTTTTTAATCATATGTTATTTTGATTTAATTTGGTTTTTTAAGCAGGTAGCAATCCTACTAAATGTAATTGAAAATTAAGCCCTTTCAAAGCCGTTTTGGTTGATACCCTTAGCGTAGTAATTCATTGAAATTAATTGAATTACATTTTTGGACAGGTGGCAAACCACCTCATGTTCCATATCCATATTGTTAAAATGAATTGAAACTATCATATACATTGAATTAAATTTTTAAGCAAGTGGCAGCCCTGTTAAAAATAGTTTCAAACTATAACCTTATTAAACTTTTCAGTCTGACACCAATATGGCTATACATATTTCAGTGACCTTATTCCCTTGAATTAAAGTTGAATTTAATTTTTAAGCAGATGGTAATCCTCCCACATGTTGTTTAGAAATAAAGCCTTTTCAAAAACATCTCGCTTGATACCTATATTGTAGTATTCATTTAATTTAATTGCATTTGATTTTTTAGCAGGTGGCAGCCCTTTTTATGTTCTAACCTAGAATAAACCTTCTCCGCGGCGATATGAATTCGTAGGTATCAATGTTTCCACAATCGGACCTCGATATCATGGAGTCTATCGATGTCAAACTTCAAGCAACTTTATTTTCGTTGTTTTGGTCGAATACTTGGACATCCTCCTACCTTATTTACTTGACTTTAAACATTTACAGTTCTAAATATTGAAACGCGTCGTTTCTAAAAATTTTGAGTTAAAATTTTCATGAAAATAATTTTGGCCGCCTAAATCGGTCAAATAACCCTATGTGCGTCGTCGCTCTACTATTTAGGCGAAAATTCGCCGTTCGCCGGTGTTTCAAAGGTTATACTCCAAATTTGTTATAGTTTAATATAACTCCATATATTTGTGTAAACGGAGACATAAAATACCAATGACACACATACATACATACTAGAGGGCTGCCTGAATGCATTCAAAATGGCTTTTGAGTTATTCATATACAAAACGAATGAATGGCTTTGGCTTAAAATTTTTTTGAATTTGAGTGAGTAGCTGTTCTGGTATTTGTGTCGACATTACACTATTCAAACAAAGTGAATGGCAAAAGCTTTGCAGTACTGGGAAATTTAAAGAACATTGCGGACAAAGGCGAGTATCTCAACTAAACCCTGACGTATTTTTTTAATTCATAGCTCTACATACCTGTATACTAAATAGCCGGACAAGACGTTTTTCTAAATAAAAAATAAAAAAAATAAAATTTTCCGTATACTATGCAATATACCTCTGCAATTTTGTAAGATAAACTAAAAATGTATACATCGTTGCAAGCTGTAATTACTTAAGAAGTAAACGTCTTGGCTGTCCGCCAAACCGGTCTATAGCTTTATCAATAATCTCAAATTGGTTCTCTGATGCAAACATTCGATGTACACTTAGAAGACACAAACGTAAAGACAAAGTAATAAACAAATAATTATTAGTTTACCGTTCAATCCATTTTCGCTCATTGTCGACTACAGCGGGGTTTTTACCCTTCTTAAATGGCATTACTCTGAAGTTAGCGAGAATAACTTGAAACAGAACCGGATGATCCACATATTCACTTTTTTAATTATTAAAATTTACAAGTTATTTTGTTAGCATTGAGTGTATGATGTTATATATAGTATATACATAGGAATAATCTTGAAAGTTAGGGGTAGGGTTCCAAATTATCGAGCTAGCATTTCCTGTTACTACCTGGCTACGCCCATGTATATTAATATTATATGGTCTTCTAGAAATGCCAGGGCATGAATCTCGTAAGTTTGAAACTATAGTCGTTCAAACGATACTGACAAAAGATGTCGTCAAAACACTGATTTATGTATTTTTTATGTGTTACTGTTACGTGAAGCAAAATTTAAATCGAGTTGACTATATCGCACAAACAATTTTTTTTTTCATGAAGCAAGACCATCTCAACACGATATGGGTCCAGGCGATTGCCATCATACGTGATTCATGTTACCGCATAACTTTGGGCCACGTCAACCGATTTTGATAATTCTTTTTGCCTCGGAAAGGTAGTGTCTCAGAGGTGGTCCCATACTAAATAATGGTTCAGATCCGATCATTGGATCATGAAATATATATAGATATAGTTTTTTTGCTAAAAATTACTTGTTGACACTTATTTTCGTGTCAAGATATTAGAAAGAATTTAGCCCCTCGCTGACGGCGCATAATTAGCATTATTGGAAAAATATCAGCGAAATTTTGTTACTGAATAAATTTTATTTCCTATGACACTAATTTATTCATATTCAAAACTAATTTTTTTTTTTAATTTTTGCCCATGGTCATGCTGTTGTATAGCTACGGTGACCATATTTATGAGAGCCGAATACGGGACAAAAATAATTTTGCAAATTCTTTCCACCACAGCTTACAGATCTGAAAGCCTCCTTCAATGAACCTAGATGTATTAGCCCTGAAACAGTATCCTTTTAGTAAAATCAAAAATTTGTAGGATAATTTTCTCGAGATTTTTACCCCGAAAAATTTGTTTAAAAAATTCGTTAAATTTTAGTATAATAAAGCGCAATATTAAGTCGCTAAGGCTTGCCATTAGTTTTTGGCAATTTTTGTTTTTGTTGACGGTGTTGCGTATTTTTTCGTACAGAGTAAGTGAAATATTGCAGAATTAATTTTTATAGTTTTTTGGCACAAAGTTGGTAATTTGATATTATATGATTTTTGTTAGGAAAAGAGCTTTACTTTCATAAATAATAAATTTTAAATAAGCTAAGGGAAATATCCAAAACTTACTAAAATGTCGAGTGCTAATTTTTATTTTAGTCACTGTATGTTATCCTCGATTCGAATCACAGGCATTCAGATTAGAAAATAATAACTGTTTATGGAGAAAATTACGATCACATACCAACATCACTTAAAACTCGTTCATAGACATGCCATTTTAATGAGCTCTTAAGTGGGCGAAATACCAAATACGGGACATTAAAAGAAATACAGAACATTTAGCGTCCCGTATAAAATAAATAAATTAACAGGACAATGGGTAAAAAAAGAGGACTGTCCCGTATAATACAGGACGGATGGTCACCGTATGTATAGCAGGCATTGCCCCTTTAGCAGTCTTGATTTTGTTGTTCTTATTCAGGGTATCCACATTCCGGTGCATATGGTCTAGTATTTGCATATTTCGATGTATTTGCAAATTCACTACAATAAAATGCAAACGGTTGCTATGCAGCAAAAATAAAATGTAAAAGATGCAACTGGCAGACCATATTAACCTCCGTATCGATAACAGGAAATCCGCATTTCTTCTATCGTTCAATCTACACATCATGCAATACTGGGTAAGTTTCCACACCCTGTCTGACAGGCAATCCATGAGAATATCGTGTGAACCTTTGATTTACTGAAGGAGAATTGACACGCCCATCCCTAGCTAGTTACCTTTATCACCTTTGCGTCCTGGTACCCAATATAAGCAGTGTTGCCATTTTTGCCGTTTTCCGGCTAGATTTAGCCGGTTACGATAGCAAACAGCCGGAGAAAATTCGGTTTAGTCGGCAGCCGACTTGTTAGCCGTTTTGCAAAAAAATAGCCGGTTTTAGCCGATTTTGCTATTTGCTATTCGCCTTATTTTATTAAAATTAAAATATACAAGTTTTTATTTTTACAAATTTAGTGATCCAAAATCTATTAGAAATGCCTAAAATTTTTTCTAACCCGAAAAGTCTGCAGATAGTGAGCCGATTTCAATGTTTTTTTTGTTTTAAGCGAGTGACCCAATTACATATAAACTGCCATTTTAGCTGATTAGAAAGTTAAAAATTTTGCTGAAATTTTGAAGAGTTTTCATAATTTTTACACAAAGTCTAAAATCTGGATGTAGTATATGGTTTTTGTTAAGTAATGAGCTACATATTCGTAAAAAATAATAAACATTAAATAAACTAAAGAAAAATAGGCGAAACTTGCTTCAATTTTTGTTAAGAATGTCTTAAATTTAAGTGTGAAGTTTTACGCGCAACACTTAGAATATAAAAGAGCAGACATTTCGATGTGGAGCAAAACTCTCTGGGTTGACAATACCTGTGAAGAATTGCGTCATGGTGCAAATATACTTTATTTTTGTTATCATTGTTATTTCCGAGTTGGTGGCCTTCAGCCGCCCTAGAAGAAATAACCTCATCAGTCCAACTCAACGTAGATAACCCAAAATCATTGTACAAATAACCGAACCGTACCCAAACTGTCTTACTTATGCATTTTTCTATAAACAAAAATTTTATAAAATGAAACTGCAATAGTTTTCATCTTATGGGGATAATTCTTGTCACAAATACATAGTTTCGTGCTTATATTTATGTATAAATATTTCTTAGCAGCACCACATCTTTATCAGAAAATTCCGAGAATCCAAAAATTGGTACTGTTACAAGTTGCAGGCCATCATTTTAACTCGACCTCCTTCCTGTTCCATGGATAACGGTACATCTTTTAGAGGTTAAAAAATATTTTGCGTCAGCAATTTGTCGTCGAACTGCACGTATTACGTACCCTATCCTCGGAAAAGCAAAGAACTTTATTTTCGAATCTTTACTCAGGTGAACCGAATTCTGACAGTTTGGAAACGCGCAACACTTTTAACATTTTCATCCAACTTCACTAACTTATTTTTTTTTACTTTTACAAGAATCAAAATTTTGTCTTCTAGTGAATCTGGTGGCATGATTTTAGTTAAATGTCATAAACTTGTTAAAAGTTCGGCAACAACAACGAATGTTAATATATCATGGCGTCTTTTCTCGAAATAATGTTGCTCTGTTTTCCTCAGGCCTTTCACGACTTTACGTGTTCATTTCTCAATATATTGCCCTCCGCCTAAGCAAAAGTGCCATACTTTTTGCTAATATACTCATTTTGCGGGACAAAAAGCAACCTACTGCAAATGTTACAATATTTATAAGAAGGCAAAATTGTTTAATAGAAAAGAAAATGCCATAAGTTTGTAATTTATCTCTGTTTTTATATTTAAGTAATACAAACATGAACATTTCCTTTGTTAAACAAAAATAAAGTGGTGTACAGCTTAGCTAGGAATAATCTTTGTTAACCAAAAAAAATTTAATGGATTTACTAATCTTTCTAATTGTAATTTATGTATTAAAAAAAAAGTTAATTCTAGTTGAAACATTTTAGCCGTTTTTAGCCGTTTTCTTGTCCAATCTAGCCGGTCACCCCAAAAAGTTCTGGCAACACTGAATATAAGTGAACGCCTTGTGACATGCCTCACCTAATTGCCTCTTTACAATCTATAACAGTTTTAGAGTAAGTAATACAAGCGATCAGTCAAGAACTAATTAATCTCCAATCTCATTCTTTGGGATCAGTCTAGAATAATAAATGCACAATTGTACCTATGGAGACTAATCCGGGTTCCATCTTTATAGAGATTATTCGTATTAGAGGTGATTATGTATGTATTGTTTATAAATCCTTATGAGACCACCGAAAAACATTACCTACAAATATCCTGAATTACCTTTCTTTATGCGCATACATATGTATATATGCAGATAACTCATATAATCTTATTACATTAAACGAGCAATTCTTGTATATATCTGTGCTCGTATGGAATAGTAGCTTATGTCCAAAGGCTGACTTTAGTATAATGCGGCATCCGCAGCATACGATTGCGTATGACTCACTGAGCCGAGCCGTTGAAGAAGTTTTTGAAAATAAACGTGCAAGAAATAGTTCCGATACTAGCAAATCAATATTTTTATTAAGTCTCGTCAAAAGATTCCCTGTCGTTTAAAGAATAAAGGGAATGCCGCATTATACTAACGCCAGCTTCCCGACATAAGCTACTAATCCATACGAACACAGATAAACAGTTTTAAAGATCCCTAATTCAAAAATATTTTTAATAGGGTTGCTACCTATTTTGAACCGCATATTTATTTAATTTTTTGTTTAGAAAAAGGGTAAAATATTACTATTCATGGGTACCGAGAAAAGGTTCTTAAACATGCTTTCCATATATACAATATGTTGTCCCTTAGGATAATAGTGTAAGGTTGCCACTTATTTTCGATTCTACATAATACATCTAAAACGTTGCAACATGGATATCAAATCCTTTCGTATTGTTGAGAACTTTGGCCAGAAAATATTTTCTGTCAGGGTTGCTACGCTTCTATGTAATACAAATATTTATTTTGTTTATTTCAATCGGCATGTTTTTTTATGTACACACAGTACATACACGCTCAGGACATGTACCATTCCTTTCAGCGTATTTCGGAATATGGTAGCCACCTAAATTTTGGAGTAAGATATCGAAATCAAATTTTTGTTTTTATTTCCAAAATATTTTTTTAAAGCTATCCAAATCTTTAAAACTTTAAAAAGTATATGCATTCCGGGCAAAGCTCGGTCAAGCTGGTACTTATGCATGATTATGGGACACATAACTTACTTACATTTATTAATATATTTTCATTTTCCGTACAGAATGGCAGTGGATCTGGAGATATTGGTATACGTGGCGGTGGACATCCTGGGGATAATCCATTCTATAGTAATATCGACAGTATGCCAGATATTAGACCACGCCGGAAATCCATACCTCTTGTGTCGGAACTTGTAAGTAGTAAAAGTTTACACGTTTATATATTCCATATTTAAATATATTTCGAACAACCTATGTATATAGGTCCGGTTGTTCAATGTCTGATTATCACTACCTCCCAGTTATACATCATTATCGACGTTTCCGACATGTGATCGATAACGCAGTCATCGTATTTAACCGGAGATTTTACCTCCGATTTATTTTAACCGGACATTGAACAAACCGCCCATAATATACTTGTTGAAATATTAATTTAATTTATTGCAATCTTTTTAATGCATACATACTTACTTCTATCAAGTTTTTTTTACAACATAATGGCAGCTTATGTACATACATACCTATATATATATACACACACGCATAAAATTTTTTTCGCCGCAAGAAATGAGTCCATAAACATGCAACCATACTTAGATGCTCAGTTCTGTTTGCCCCACCCCCGGTCGAACCCGTTTGCCAATAAAAAAAATTTTGTCCATTTTAGATGTCCAGATAGAGCGTTCCCAACATTGTAGTCTATATTTGCGCTTTCCAATAAACAACACTTTCCTCCATTTTAGAAGGCGTCAGGACCGGACGCAGTATTTCTCTTTCGGGGGTTTTATATAAAGTCATTCGTAAAAACCAAGAATATCATTTTTTTTATTTAGAGTAGGTATTCAGCATACTGTATTTAATTGTGGATATAATTTAGAAAAACCCAAAGAAAGGGCACATGCAATTTACCGAGGTATAGATAAAACTTCTTTTAACAATGAGTCAACATCAACATCCAGATTGCGATGAAAATTGAGAAAAGCTAGCCCATTGTGTTCCCGTTCCCTACCCATGCCTGCACATTAGCCTGCGCCTTAGGTGTATGGAGAAATTTTTTTGTTAACCTACCTTTGGTCATAAAAACGTGCCCTGCCAACGGAAAGACGTGCCTCGAAAGGCTCTAAAGTTCAGCATTTTCATGCATTTTTTTATAAAGTGGTAAAAATTTCCTCATAAAAAACCCTTATCGGGGGACAAAACTCCATCAAGTTCCATTAAAATATATTAAATTTCCCATTGACTTATAAGCAAAATATTGACCGCTTCGAGAAAAATTCCATGAATTTGCTGAACTTACGGGGCCTTTGACGCACGTCTTTCCGTTATCCGATTCTAAATATTTTTCGCAGGTCACGTTTTTATGACCAAATGAATCTTTCTGGGGGGAGTCTTGCTTTGTAGGACAAAGTTGCAAAATAAGGCGCAGGCTTCTCCACACGCACGATGATATTCATTGATTTATTTTGCAAACAAAAGGAAAAATTTCTGTAGAAAAACGGAAATCTGAATTTTTGCTCATTTTTTAATGGATAACACAGCCCAACAAAAATATAAAAAAATTTGGGTACGGCAAATGTTAAAGCTGTTTTTGATAGATTTTTTTCGGTCTAAGACACCCTGTACATAAGTACATACAGAGACTCAAACAACCGTTCATATATTGATTTGTTTTTAAATATTCGCAATGTTTTTCAAGTACAATTTTTTGATATTTTTTAATAAAAATATTGTAGTTATAACCAAAACCATATAGTTCACCTCCTGGTATAGCGTACTTCCAAGGACCTCCAAAGTAGCACATAGTCGTAAAATCGGCGGAATATAAGTTGATCGGTTTCCCGGGACAAACTAAATCGGTGAACGGAGCTTACATGAATTATGTGGTTAAAGGTCATAAATAGAATGACTAAATATTTGTGCATATCCTTTATAGGGGGTCGAAAAAGGATTGGAGCTATCTATTAAAGTCCTTCGCCGTCGGATTTCATCCAAATGCTCTCTTTCACTTAATTCTAATTAAACTTAATTAAAATATCAGCAGATCTTATAAATTGTGTACATCAGCTGAAAATAAATTAATCATCATTATTTTGATATCATTAGTTGTTTAATCGGTTATGTAGTTCATAAGATATTAATATTTAAAAATATCGAAAAATTTAACTTAACATCTTATATCTTCTTAATTTTTTACTTGCGCTAAATAATTTTGGTAAGGTTGAAATCAGCAAGAAGAATTCTATCGAGTTACTGTTTTGGTTTGTCTATAGCTAAAAGGTCGATATTCCAGACTTTTTTAGGGTATTCACAGTTTACTTTTAAAGTTAAAAGGTGGTAACTTTAACAAGATAACACACTGGAACTGTGAGCAAGCCTTCACACATGTGTTTCAAATTGTCAATAAAACAAATATGGTCAGATATACATTTAAAAATTTTTCAAATTGCGCCCACCTTATGTTTTTCTGCTTCACTTTCCATTTTTTCTTAGCGCGAATAATTAGCTGATCAGAGATGCCAGTTTAACACAAAACAAAAACATGAGACAAAGGCGAATAATTTTGCCCAAAAGTGTTATCTCTAATTAATATGGGAACCAACAACAAAGAAAGTTACCACATGATAAAATGTTTTAAAGTTACCAGGTGGAAAAATTAACACAGTAGATAATATAAGAAAACGGAATGTCAGTCACCTGCCACCGAAATTTGACGACAGTCTTTGACATGCACTGCGATGTCGACATTTGGTCAGTTTTTAAGATGCAATGAAAACGCATTAAAAAAAACGATACGAAGAAAAGTTACGTTACTTATTAGAACTATACGATGATATGAACGCTTGTTTGATTGAGTCAATGTATGTACATAAGAATTTGTAACTGCATATGTCATTTACAAAAATAAAAAATAACGAGAACAGTTCATGACACTGAAGTAAACGCAAGTAAAGGCCCAAACCAGAGTCGCCAGGTAATTGTTATGTTTCCCCCGAATTCGGCCAAGAAATTACTGATATTTTACAAAATTCAGCGGCATAATAAAGATTGCATATCTTTTTCTCATAAAAAAGTACAAATTAAAATTTTAATAATACTTAAAGATTTAAGACGGCTATTCATAAAAAAGGAGAGAACTGTTTCTGTTGTTTTGTGCGTCTATTTTAACGTTCGGCTGCAAAATTTTGTTGTACTAGAAAAAGTCAGATCGAACCAGCCCAATCATAATATTAAGTATAATATTTTTATAGTACCTAACAAAATGAGCGATACTAGTATGATTGTAAAAGTTTTACTTTTTAAGGGAGAAGAATATTGAGAATATTTCTCATGAGAAAAGAAATTCTCTCTCATCCCAACTTTCAAAACAGAGTATAAATATGAGCCATTCTTTTTTAAGTCGGACGGATTTCGTAAAAAAATATGTCATGTCTCCGATTCGCTTCACATGTTTTTTGTGGGTTCTATACATGAAATAAGCTAACACCTGTTCGAGGAATTTTTTTCTTCTTTTTTTTTCTTCGGAGATAGGATCTGTCAAAGTTTGCATTTTTTCGTGATTCTGACTAATCATGTACTTCTTCAAATCGTTATAACTCGGGTTCTGCCCATCGTAGAGACTGGCTTAACATTTCTGTATATAAGATGGTCAAGATTGCCCTAAAGCTAACTTAGCAATTAACAGTTGAACATTTTGAAGTTGATTTGCATAGTGAAGGCCAGTATATGTATTAAGGATTTAAAATTATACCATCGTAATGCTTGTTTAATTCTCTATAAAAAACGTGGTCCAAAAAAATGGGGGTTTTTCAAGAACTATTTTTAAAATATTTTTCTTTATGACAAGATGGTTTATTTTGTGCATCGGGTTTTTGCAAAAAGTAAAATTTGATTGCGGATTCAGATAGAACACCTCTCCAGATATAATATTTGTATGGCAAGATTTTTCTTTAAGGCGACAAACCCCAAGAAATGGGCGTGGCAATTGCAGGACTAAAATTAGCAAAACGCAGATTTTATTGAAGAATTCGGCAGAATATCGCTTCGTTAAGAATATTTGTTCCACAACTTTTTCAATTCATATAGGTATTCTGGCGAAATCCACAACAAAGTCTAAATTTTTGTACTTTGGTTTTAATATAGCCACGCTCATTTCTAGAATATTCTTTGGTTGAAAAAGTTGGGGAACAAAAGTTGTTAACGAAACGATGTTCTGCCGAAATCCGCAATAAAATCTGCGTTTGCGAACTTTAGTCCTAAAATTGCCACGCCCATTTTTAGGGGTTTCTCGCCTTAAAAAAAAATCTTGACGTACAAATATTATACCTGGATAGGTATTCTATCGGAATCTGCAATAAAATTTTAATTCTTGCAAAAACTCGATGTTTAACATCTTACTAAATATATCTCAACATAAGTTTTGGAAAACAAATTACAAAAAATTGTTGATTCTCACAAAATAAACCATCTCGTCATAAAGAAAAATATTTTAAAAATAACTCTTGATAACCCCAATTTTTTTGATAATTCTAAATCCCAGTAAGGTCTTCACTACGCAAATCTACTTCAAAAAGTTCAACTGTTAATAGCTAAGCTAGCTTTAGGACAATCTTGACCATCTTATATATGGAAATATTAAGGCCTTTGCTTAAGCTTTAAAATGACGCTAAGATGAAATCTCTAGGATGGGAAGAACCCGAGATATAACGATTTTAAGGAGTACATGATTAGTCAGAATCACGAAAAAATGCAAACATTGACAGATCATATCTCCAAAGAAAAAAGCGAAAAAAATTCCTCGAACACGTGTTAGCTTATTTCATGTATACATACAAAAAATTTTAAGCCAATCGAAAGTGCGACACCAAATTTGGTGTCCGATATAAAAAGGAATGTCTCATATAAGTACATACATACCAATTGCCGTAACAAGGATGCGGCAACAAATTCAAACGAATCTCAGTCCGCACCAACCTCCAATCCTTGCGTTAATTTCCTGACACTTTGGATTTTGCCTACACTAAGGGGAAAAAACAGTAAAATCAATCAATAACGTAGTTTATCTTAATATAAACGATAAAAAACAAAAATATATTTGCCCACTCAGTCAGAGCCAGACATATGTATAAATGTACTTCCAAATGTTGAATTTCCATCAACACCACATCGCGCCCCTGCAGTGAAAAGCCAAACC